AAAAAGGCAACATCAAATGTGTATATATGGAATCAGGGAAAGCTAAATCGTGGACATTCTTAATCGAATATACTCTATATCTTTAGCAGAAAAAAAGGCAATTTCCATAAAATCCGTTCCCTGTTTATGACATAACTGTCATAAAACCTCTGCAGGATATGTATGTATATATACATAAATTTATCATTTTACTCAGCACTAATAGCTCTATGGTCTTCCCATATTTAAGGCTGTTGTACGCTCTTTTTAAATCGGTATCGATCAATACTTAAAAGTATCGACTGAGAAAATCAATGCGATTGCCACCAACCCGTAACAAAATAATTTGCACCGACTATTTCATAAATTTGCGGCGTCACTTTTATATAAAACATACGAGTTCTTCGTATGAGTTTTCACATTTCTGAGAAGACTTTGCTTATCGAATAAGAAAACGCCGGACACTCCATGGCGCGGTTTTTGTTTTAATTATCACGCGGACAAACAGACTAAATATCGGACTGTCCGGTCAACAACGGTTGAACTGACAACAGCTAGCCTGTTCGCGATTTCGAATTCGAGTAAATTTCTCCATACAAATTTGTTTAGCTGTTTTAATAATTCGATATAGTACTATAACTTAGTAAACATTGGTCGACTCGATAAATTTCGATAACCAGGAACTTCGATGATACGATGAAATTCGATAACTATAAACATTGATATTTGAAGCTTTAAGTCTTTAGCTCATCAGGAAGGGCTTGCAAAAAGAAAAGAAATGTTTATCCAACAAAATTATTTTTCCTCATATGTACATGGCGTATTAGTAACATTATTAAAAATTTAATTTTTTCTCGCTGGCATTTAGTGCTGCCATATCTGTCTTAATCAATAGCCAACCAAGTAAATATAAGCATTTATGTATGTGGTTTTCAAATAAATACCCAACGATTATTTGCTCGCTGCTGGCAAATCCACATTTCACTTCGTTCAAATTATTCATAACTAGATTATTAAACTAAATACTGATAGACCCTTTTTTGCATCAAAAGAAAAAGAACCCCAATTTTTTTTTATTATCAAAAGTAAATTACTTCATTTCTATTATACTGCGCACACACACACACACATACATACACCAGAGTTGATTTGACTACCACGATCATAGCATTTAATAAAATCTATATATTTTTTTTTCAAATAAATACTTCCTTCCGCTTTTGCTATTGTAACTTTATGGAAACTGCAGCAGGATGTATGAATACAATTTTACTTTTTTCTTGCCTGCAAACTATGCTCGCATTGAAATGCAAATACTTGCAAACCAATCACTTCCTGATTCAAATACAGTATGCTTTACAAAAAAAATAAATAAAATCGAAATGCTACATATGCGAGAAAAGGAAATTATTTACGGCAACAACCAAATAAAAGTTTTCTTTTACCCAACGCAAATAAATGTGAAGAATATATATACATACATACTTGGGTTTGTACATAAATGTATATTAGGGTGGTCAAGAAAAAGTAAAGTCGGAGTTTTAACGCCGCCATTTATCCCCGTTCCCCTCCTACCATACCATCCATCGCTTTGAGGTAAATTTGTTTTATTTACACTAGCGATAATTAAATCGGACTGGTGTATCATACAAACCAAAAATAAAAAATTAAATAAAATCCACAATTTTTGAAAACCGTTTTAGAGGTCAAGATAACAATTTCTTTATTATTAGAGCAACATCACTCGAAAACTAACGGAATCGAATGCGGTTTTCAGCGATGCAATGCTAAAAGTCTAACTTAAATATAGGAAAAAAATAATTAAAGAGTTGCCAGCTGCTTGAAAATTGCAGTTTATGCACATTGATAAGATAAAGTAAATATTGAAATATGGTCGTCAAAAGACAAAACATTTCTGAAGGCTTACAGTTGAAAATATTTTAGGCGAAGGCTGCCACCTGTTTGAAAATTTGAATTTGATTTAATTGATAAGATAAATTAAATATTGCAATATGGGTTTCGAACTAAAGAGGTATAGGAAAGTTTACAGATAAAAATATTTTTGATGAAGGTTGCCAACTGTCTGAAAGTTTTTATTCAATTATTAAATTGACGAAATAAATGAAATATTAATATAATATAATATCTAACTAAAGTGGTTTAAAAAATTTTATCGCCGAAAACATGTTTGTAGCGGGTTGCGACCTATTTGAAAAAAAAAATGTATTCAGTTAAAGTGATAAGTAAATATTTAATTAATACACAATTGAAGACAGTATACTTTATGTAAAATCGAGTTATAGGATTATAAATTAAATTTCTAGGACTAAAAATCGTCGGAAATATATATATATTAGCTAACACCCTTATTCATAAAAATTAAAGTATGTTTCATAGATCAAAAAATGTGTTTGAAAATCTCACTTCAGAAGCGCTTTAAATCTATTTTGTTTTTTTTTTTTTGTTTTATGAATGACGCCATAAGAGCTTTGCGAGGGCGCAGTGAAGCAAACTAAAAAAAAATAAACTTAAATTTTCACAATTTGTCGGTAAATATATACCACTTTATTGATTTCAATCTCCTGTCGATAAGTGCATGAGATTTTACATATGTATATGGATATTGTAAGTATCAGAGAAGTACCAAACGTTGCGCATGCAGCAATAAAAGCCTTTTAGATTTTAGATTTGTTTCCTTTTATTACTAACATTTTTGTATATTTCCGTACAATCCTTGAGAGAGTTGAAGGTAAGATTTATAGCTATATTGCATTCGACATTGCCTTTGGCAACACAAAGTGGTTATTGTTTACGGCAATGGACAGTTGCCAATGCTACACGAGTATTATATTTCAACGCGCACACAATGCTAAAAGTGCTTATGGTGTGAGAATGGAAATGAAGGTGCTGGCGATGCGATGATGGAGGCGAAGCAGAAGGCAAAGGCGACGGAAAATAGCGATTGCAGTAATCATTGCAGCATCCTCTTGCAAGCAATCCATAACGAGTGTGCCAACCAGCAGGCCAGCCACACAACATCACCATTGCCATTAACGCAACCACTACCACCACCGCCACCGCCACCGCCACTACCAATGCCAACAACTCTCTACCTCTGCGTTCGTGATAGTCAATGCAAATATTTCGTCCTTGACATCTTTCATTCAATCTAAGGTGGATTGTTTTGTGCGCACATACACACACACACACACACACACAAACACACACACACACACACACACTCGCATACACATGACCACACGCATGAATACTCACTACAACTGCCCACCCAATCATACCAATATGGACATACATATGTATGTATGTATTGTACATGTGCAGAAATGTATGTATGTGTAGATAAATATATGAATCCAAATTGATGCTGTGCAAATGTGCTCATGTGAGTCAGAGTATACATTTGAGAATGCAAGTTCAAATATTTGCACAGTCATTGCCGCCAGCCAAGCTGTTAGATGATGAATGACCAAATGGACAGAGCACTTCGGCACGAAACTGTGTGCGAGTGCTGTAGAGGCCCGGAAATGGTCATTTTCAAAAAATACGAGAGCTTTGCTCTGTTTTCCTATCGTTGCGTAGCGTTGCGTATTCTATGTATTTCCTAGTCTTTATTACGTTATTGACATGACTACATCATTGATTTCCTAGTGTTTGATATTTATTGGTTCTGTTTCGTTTCAGGCGCGCTCCAATTTGTATAATTTTCAAACAAACATAGATACATGCGAACATACATGCTCGTACATACATAGATATATGTGTATGTTTGTAAGTTGTTTTAAAGAAAGTTTGAGAATATTTATATATGTATGTTATCGAAAAGGTGCGAAGAGTAATAATAATAAAGTAAAATTTATGTAAATCTAATTATGAAGATAAGCTTCCTAGTCGATTATTGGTATGAGTACCCTAGAATATTCTTGCCCATCAATGACAGATATATGCATGTGTGTATACACGCTCTACTTTGCTGAATGTCGGAAATTTCCTTCAATAATACCAAGCATACTTAAACTCAGCCAAAAACGGTCGGGGTTTTCACATTTTTCTCTTTTTAAACTGATCAAAATATTTTCAAACTAAACCCTTCTTATACCTCTTACCGCTGACACCCATATAGTGATATATATTTCTATGACCTACGTTTCTTAATTCAAGTCGAACTTAAATTTCTAAACAGGTGGCAACCCCCTCACAAGAAGTTTAAAAATAAAGCCTTTTCAAAACTATTTCCAAACTAAAGATTTCTTAACACTCTTTCGGTTACACCCATACTTTAATATTTCATACAACTTAGGTATTGAAAAAGCCTGATTTGATTTGATTTTGTTGGGACTAGAAATTGAACCATGAGCCTGCCGAGTAGCAGTAGGAACATCTAAGCACTCGGCTACGGCGGCAAGAGCTCTGTACAAATCCGAAAAAACGCCATAAAGTATCTATTAAAAAAATGTTAAAATAACACCAACCATGATCAAAAAAAAAAAGAACCTTTGAACTTACTTTGCTTTTCTCTCTTCCATATAAAAGCTATCTTTACTGTTAATAGTTTAATTGTAATAACAACTTAAGCATTTTCACCGTATGAAAACTATATAAAATAAAAACGATTTGTGCGGTTTTTTCCATGATAAAAAATAGGAAGGTAGAACCGCTGAGAGGAATTTTTCAAATCCTTGACGTTTGCAAGCAATTTAATTTTAAAATTTTACACACAAACTCACACACACATTCTCATTTTCAATCTCAAACAAAAACAACTTTAAACAATTCCTTTTTTTCACTCTAAATTTTATATGATTTTAAAATGTTGACAAACTTCAAAAAAAAAAAATCATGGCCGACGAGTTGAGATAACGGTTTTACCTTACTATGTTTTTATCATGGTTTTTTCTTTGTTTTACGACAATAAATTTTTATTTAACTGACACTGACTGACGCCTTTGTATAGGGTATATTATTTATTTTATTAAAACGTAATAAAATTGTTTCCTGCTTACCTTCCAATGAGCCGGTGTATATTCTAGAAATATCATAATCCACTGGTCCATGCGTACTTTCGATTTCGACATCATTAGCAAATACTGACAGTGGATTCTGATGTAGAACCATGCGAAATTCTCTGAAATACCAATATGAAGAACAAATTTATTAGTTAGCAGTGAATGAGTCTCTAACCCAATGCACGAGTAGATGGAATGATTCGAAGATCTAGAAAAGTATGATTATTTATTTTTTTTTTAATAGAAACAGCAGTATTAGCTAGAGTATATATTACTGTAAATTAATTAATTATGCATCTTTCCGATCAAATTATTAATACAGACTGGTTCTAGAAAGTGCCTCGGATTTTACGAATCATATTCGAGTGGTTAGTATATCCTTTAAATCTGAGTTTTATAACTTGATGAAACGACTAAACTGACACTAAACGGATCGAACTGAACCTCGGTATTCTATCTTAAACTAAACTTCACTTATTTTGACATCTCTGCCATGTGTTACAGACCAGTCAGTCTCTACTCGTTTCTGCTTAAAATTCTAGAGAGGCTGCTTGAGCTGCAAATTAGGCACAGAATTTCTGATGGTCAGTAGAGATGGCTTTGCACACAATTGGGACGTCGATTGTCGTCATACATAAAGACTCTAATGTAGCTGCTTTTCTCGATAACCACGGGCTTTTAACAATGCACTACCGGCGTGCAATAGTACGATCCCTGAGTAAGCTTGGGCCGACGCTGACCTTGACAGCGCACAACCAATGGGGTGGTGCCACCATCTAGCGCAGAATTACCTGGGGAACGTCTCAGGGTGGTGTCCTCTCGCCACTTCTATGGATCGTGGCCATACAAACACATGCTAGAACCGTAAATTTAGGCTTTCAGATCAGCAGTCATTTGGTCGTTGTTGTGCGCGATGGCGGCAAGGAGATTAACATCTATTCAGACAGGCTTAATGCCCTGCCGAAGCTTGTAGGGGAATGCCTTAATTCACTTTCGATCTCGTCTTAAAATTACCTTGTCAGACTTGTATGGGTGTCATGCCATGGCGATATCGAAGGAAATTGTGTGGTTGTTGAACTGGCCAGGGGCGCCACCCTCGTGTCAATATCGTCAAGAAAAGAGTGGGACTTTGCTAGGAAAAAAGGCCTCCAGTCAATTCAGCGAACGCTGAGTGAAAAACAGAGCATGGGCCAGGGCGGTCTAGGTATCTCCTTAGGTTGACGAATCCGCCTTATCTTACTTCTGGTGGGTCAATGTCCTATCGAGGTTTACTCAGTACGACAACCGACCCCTTTTGTCGCAGATGCATGGAGGACGACGAGATGGTATCGTTTCAACAGTTCCTTATCCTGCGCAGCTTTTGCTAGACTGTGGCTTAGGAAACTGCGTTCGAACTTTCTAACTGGTTTAGAGGAGCTCTTTGGACTAACATCCGCCGCCTGCTTAACCCAGCAGTTACCGTTAGCGGTGCTGTTACAAAGTACCAACACTTACGGTCCAAGGGAGGCCCTTGATACGGGGCAACCATCTTAAGCAAACCTAACACAATTACAATATTCATTGGAATTCCTTTATACAATTTTTAACAAGTCTTTAAGCTGCTTCGAGTAAACCATTAATATTACTAATCTTTGGAAAAAAATATGCATAGCTAGTAAGTATGTATATACATATGTATATATGTATGTATCTCACTTTATATAACAGTTGAATATTGCCAACTTACCTGTCATGAGCAAAGAAATTCAGTCTGATAGTGTGAACTGGACCAAATTCGCCCGAATACAGTTCTCTTTTTCGCCGATGGCGCTTCTGTTCGATGTGTTTTTGATGTGCCGAGTGCAAATACGAACGATCGAAATCCGCCGCCTCCCAATGGCGTATGTAGGGTGAGAGCTTTTGTGTGTGTCCTGGAATACAATGTAAAAACATAATGTGAAAATTTAATTATCCACGATATAAATAAATAAAAACAAAAAACTAAAAGGGTATACTATATATATGTATGTATAGAAGAAGACAAAGTATAGAAATAATGCCACAAACAAGAAAAGACAACCAAAAAAATTTTTGCGTTCAACTTTAATTAGCTACTTTTTTTGTGATTGCAATTTCGAGTGCGATGTCGAATCGAGTGTACATGTATGTATGTATGTATGTATGCAAGTATTTTGTTGCGGTAATTACCAACAATAGCAACAAAGTTTTCGTGTAAAAAGTTTTAAACGCACAACCGCAAAATGAAAACTTTGTGTGATATTTATTTTTTATTTTATTACAAAAACAAAATATCGTATGTATGTATGCATGCGCGCTGAGGTGTACTAATTGCAAAGTTGCACAGCACAGTCATTTATAATATTTTCTTGTTTCTTACTCTTTATAATAATAACCATTGATATGCGTGTGTTTGTGTTAGCACTTCTGTGTATATAATGTTTTGGAGGAGCATTCGCTTGTACTTAAAGTCGACACATATGGCATGCGAGTAATTGTTTAAGTCATTGTACATTAATTTTGTAATTTTCTACTTCAGTAACGTTTCAACACATAAACGCACATTGGATTTTACAAATCTTATCATACACATATGTACATACATATGTATGAATGTACAGATGGATGTTCATACATTAGGGCGATCGGTAGTCGATTAGGCGCGGATTGGAACCTAGGCCGTTCAAACCGCAAAGGCAAAAAAAGTTGATTTCAGGATACCATCAACTATTACTTAATGAAAATACTAACTAGGGTACATAGTTCGTTTTTACAGTGAAGCAAGCCTACGTATTGCACACTGAGCTATTACTGATTTTGGTGCAATTTTATAGTATCGCGCTAAAGTAAATTCTTTGTTGGTGTTTTTTAGCTGAAGTTTCTTCAAAGAAATTTCATTATACAATAAAGTAATGCCAAAATGAATAACTAATAAATATTTTGTTTAGGTACTAACCAATTCCGGGCTATGGTCGTTATGTAAAACGAATTTTTATTGTACAGGCTCTTAAAAATTATTTCTTTTTTTCTACTACTCTTTGTCATTATATTATGTATTTATTTCTCGGAGCAAAAACTCGTCTTCTATTGATTTTCGATTTTGCCCTGTTGTAAATAACCTCGAATCTCTTTGAATTTCGCTCTACAATTTCGAGCTCAAAAAATTTCATGAATCATGGGAAAATCATTACGATCACAACATTAAGACAACACGTGTTAACTTCGGAACCTTTCTATGTTTCACATTAGGCCAGATTGCCGGTTGTTTTGACTATCACGGAAATGACCTTAGCACATCTACATATGTAGACATGCGCTTTCGCATTTATTGTAAAAGCTATGTGAATATTAATTAATTAAATTTATATAGCTACTTAAACAAATTTATAAATTTTATCTTCCAACTAATTTTAAGGAAAAATGCGGCCTCGGGTGGAAAGACCCCCACCCAATAGTCGGGCCTGCACATATATGCATAAATATGTATAAAATCGACTTGTATATATGTAAAATAAAATAATGTAAAATAATTATGGTATTATTCATCACTTTATCGAAAGCGAACCTGAAAATCGAAAAAGTTACCGTTTTTGAAATCGGCACTTGCCACGATTTCGAACTTCACGTATTCTAACTCGGGAACACCCCCCAAAATAGTCTAATCGGAGATTACATCGCTTCAGACCAATGCAGTTGAATCTGGTTCAAGAACACCGTGGCTAATTTGTGTTTAGATGAAAATGATTTAAAAAGTTTTGGTCAATTTTGTTGTGGTTATTTACAGAAAAACGGGTTTGCAGAACTTATATAGTTTTTAATTTCAATTTTCTTAACGTATAATTTTTTCTAACCGTTTTTAAAAAAGAATTTAACTTCGCTTTTTGCGATCATCTGGTCACACTGTTGATGACAATGATAATGATGAAGATGAAGATGCTTTAACATAACTTTAATAATAATGCTTTACAATACACATCCCGTGTCAAAACGCACCACATACCTATTGACATTTAAAAAAAATCAACAAACTTTCGTACAAAATTCGAGCCTTTTAATACGGTTTCTTAAATAATTAATTAAATAATTTTGGTTATAATAAAGTGCAATCTGGAAGTAGCTATGATGTATTGTTGTACCGTTTGTTTTAACAAAATTGTGCATTTTCTTTAATATAACGTATGTTCGGCAATTAGTTTAGTAATAAAAATAATATTCTTCATCAAAATTGTTTTTTTTTTCTAATAGTAGATGGGTCTAAGAAAACACTCGATTCACTTTAGAAAGTCTAACAGCTTAACTTTATTTGATGACACTTTTGTGGGTCTCCTGCCCCACTGTGCGGCAGAGCCTGGAAGCTTTGCATGTATTTTGCATGGGTAAAGTTAAATTTTTCCTTCCTTCTTAAAAAATTTTACTTAATACTTTTTCAAAATATTCAACAATTTTTATTGAGCTTTTCAAAATAGATAATCTTATCTCTTATATACAAAAATGTGTTATTTTGTATGTTCATAAGCGCATCACGCACGTCCTGAAAAAATTGTTAGTAAGATTTCATAGTCAAATATGCTATGTGTTTTGATATTTTTTGGCCTAATAACAAATCGTATTCAAAAGTTTTGTTGAGCTCCTAGAACTTGAGCTTGAGAACTCGACAAAGAAGTCTGATGGGCAGATGTGGTGATCTCGGAAATAGCAGCTTTAACTTCTACCATTTGTAAGCTATTGTGGTTTTACCACAATAATTGTCATTAAATATGGCTTCAAGCTCAATAAAATTGTCAAAATTGAGAAATATTCTTATTCGATCAAAAATATTTATTTTTAACAATTTTATAGCAATTCTGCCAAATAGTTTATTTTCAAGTGGTTTTCGGACCACCCTAATGTTTGTACATATGTACTTATGTATGTTCGTATGCGTATCTCCTCTTTCATCGCTATTGCTTTTGAAATTTTCCGTGTGCGCTCGCAAGTCTTTCGTAGCCCCGCTTGAAGTTTTCTGCTAAAGTTTTGAAACGCAATCTACCATAATGCAGTCCGTTGCACACACACACAACTTAGCAGCTACAAACACACACACACACACACACACGAAAGCATCTACTTATATACATTTGTACATTAAATTACAAAAACAAATCGTATGAATACACATACATACGTTAATAGAAGGCGTTGCGACGTGTTAAGATCTAATCGACGCTCGTAAATTTATAACTGAAAATTATGAAAAATTGTCTTACTTTGCCATGTATTACTACTTTTTTTTCACCGTAAAATACGAACGTGACTTTACTCGCTTTGACGGTGCTGAGTCGTAATAAAAAGGAAATACAACAAACTTAAAGTTCAACTCCAATTCGTCTAACTGTACTCATAAAAGTGCAGTAATTTCCGCTACGTTCCATTGCCAGTCGCGACAATACACGTCTCGAAAGTGTGCACAGAATCTTAAAAAAAAAAAAAAAAACAAAATGAAACATCCGTGCAATTAAAATATACATTAACTATTGTGTGAGCATTTTCCTTTTCTTTTTATTTTATAATAGCCTGCCATTTTATTGTTTGCTCCTATTTCATCAAAGAAATAATCACTTCGCTGCAGCGCCATATTCAGCGTTTTATGTATGTGTCTAATCAAAACAAACAGCAACAAATGAATTTGTCTGCAGCGCAATTATGGTAATGGCAAGCGCTATCAATCAATTTGTTTAATCGTTTAATTGACCCTGAGGATACGAAATGCCGCTGGCCGCTGGCTGCTGGCTCAGTGTTAGACCCAAAATCGTGAAATTATTGCAATTAATTTGAATTTAATTTTTGTTTGTATCCTGTAATTGCCCAATTTGATGAAGACGATCGAGAGATTAACACTTAATTAATTATTTGCATACATCGACAAAAGCATTTAACTACTGTTCATTTTGTATTTGAAACGTAATTGTGAAACAGATAAGTATTATTTGTAAATAAAAAAGTGTGTTTATTTTTTTGCAGCAATTTTATAGGTGAGGACGGTGAGAGTATTTTAAACTTCCAATAACAAGTTGTTGGATTATGGCTTTCAGTGCACATACGAAACATTCTTTCTCGTTTTTTTATTTTTTTGTTTTTTCTTTTTTGTTTTATAGAACATTGAAAGCCGATCATGGCCGATATTGGACTTGCCAGGTCAAATTTTGAAGCTTGGTAATAACTTCGCGGCCCAACTGTATTTTCCAAGTACACTGAACAATACTTCCTGCGTGATTTGAAATTGGTTTTGCTTTTTTTTCGGCCAGCCACAATTACTTCCATTCCAAGCACTCAACTCCGAAAATAAACGTTGATGTAAGCATCTTAAAAATACCGAGATTCATAAAAGAGTCAAAATCACTACAGAGTCTTATGTCTTTGCCCAGCAGCTCCCACTGAGAGTAGATTATACGTACCCAGTACGGCATAGCTTAACCAATTTCCTCACACAAATTAATTTATTTCTGCTTGTGCAACAACTGACTTCAAATTGATGTATAATCATCTAGATAAACCAAATGCTTACACATTTGACATCTTTGCAAACAATTCAATATTAGTTGACAAATCATCTAATTTTGGGCAATTAAATATTTCAGCATTTAATACTAAGTAATTTTAAATTGCTTGAAAAGACATCAGCAAATATATGTAACAAATATTTTTACATTTTTATTTATATATAAAGTGCACACAATAAAAACTGGCCATTTGAAAGCACATTTACATATCTGGCTATAGCCAGTATTGCCGTTGTGAGACTGAAGGGGCAATTTTACCGATACCCTTCGACCCGACTTTTTGAAAATTTTGATTTTTTTACTCTTTTCCAAAATTATGTATGATTAACCCATTTATCCGACTTTTTCTTAATTAGAAAATGGAGAACCGTTTTTTGTTCACATTGCCATCTTTCG